GGTAATGTACACGTTTTGGGTTCCCCAGTTTTTTAAAAATTATAGTTCCTGGTGGGAAGTACTCAGTGAAATGTCACCCACGCCGCTGCTTTCTTAGAAAGACAGCCATGAGTGTGCGGTAACCTCGCTAGATGATGAGAGATCAGTGTTCTGAGATGAAAAGCGAGACTGTCCTTCAGGTGACGCGTGACCTGCGTTAGACGGTTGGCTCCCAGCCGCAAGGCCCTGTGGTCCTGTTCATTTTACCACCGCTCGTTTTTGCTTTTGATTTAGTTTTTTGCCAACGACGTGCCTCCTTTCGACTGTAATGCCTCTCTCGGGTTAATGGTGATGAGTGTATTATATGTATTATACTTGGGGGCGGGGTGGGATGCTGAGGTTAACAAAGGTGTGTAACTGACCCAAGGTGAAGCAGATGAGATATAGCAAAGCCTAGATTCACAAACTGATAATCAGGCTTATTAGAGTTACAGATACTTAAGAGTAAGCCAATTTGGGATGGCTAGTTAAATGTGGCAAGCTGTGGACGCACGCTCTCTCTCCCCCTTCCAGAACACCGTGGGAAATGATGATGAAGGGGTACAAAGAGGAGATAAAAGCCACAAAGGCAGAGAGAACCAGGGAGAGGCAACCGGAGGCAAGGAGGCCGAGGCCGATGCAGAACAAGACTGTGCCACAGACGCGAAAACGCCGCCCACCCAGCGCTGGTGGTGCCGCGAGGTGGGGACAGGTGTGAGCAGCTAGGCAGTCTGCATCAGGGACCCAGGGACTTTGGAAGAAAGGCCAGGGTGAGAAGAGGGGACTGGTTCAATGTCTGAGAAGGCTGACCCTTCTGGCCAGTGTGCTTCCTGGCTCCCCCGCAGGGGGCGCCTGGAGACTCACTCAGGAGAAACTGAACAACAGCGCAGCTTAGTGCAGGACTGGAGCGCCCACTTCTCCAGGACTGGATGCCCTGTTCCCTGTTCCCTTATGTGGGCTAAGCACCTCCGGGCAGGAAATGGAAGAGCCATCGCGGGGCTACACCAGCCCGCTCAAGGGAAGGAGACCACCTTTACGGACAGGGGCGGTTCCCCAATAGAAAAGCTGAGTCGGCCCGAATCTCCTGTGAAGTAGGCTTTAGAGCAAGATGGATCATTGCAGAGAAAGAGTCATAATGATAAAAGGGACAGTTCTAAAAAGGTACCGTTTACATTATCATGAACTATCAAATACCTGGAACTAAATCTGAAGAAAGGAGTGAATGACCCCAGCAGAGAGCTCCCAGCATCCCCAGAGCAGCTAACACTCGCGTTAAACGTCCCGGGGCGGGGCGGGGGGTGGTACGTGTCCTGGTCCCGGGTGGGATGCGCAGGCTACAGAGGAACTCAAAGACCTGTTCTGTGGGAACGGAATGAAGGAGGAGGAAGGATGAGAGGGCTGCTGTTTTCCTAAGCGAAGCAGACAAGTTTGGTGCTTTAGAGCTATGAACATATAATCTGCGTTACAGTGGAGTTGAGGGGCTGTGTGGCGTTGGCTGTGACCGCTCCGTGGCGTTTTTGTCTGGATTCTTGATTCGGTACTGGATGAGTGCAGTCCTTGTGTGCCCCTCGCACTTACTTCTGTCACAGGACATAGAGTGTGAAATTCTTGTCTGTTTCCGGCACTGTCGCCCCACAGGACTGGAGCTTTTTGACGCGGGCACGATGTCTTGTTTGATGTGATATCCCCAGTGTTTGTCACGCTCTGGCACATGGCTGAGACACACCCATGCTCAGCGTTCGAATGAGTGATGAAGTGTGTGTGGTAGGCTGAATGCTGGCCCCCGAGGGCCAAGGTCCTAATCCCTGGAACCTGTGTGTGTCACTTTATCTGGCAGAAGCAATTTTGCAGATGTGATTTAAGTTAAGGATCTTGAGACGGAGAGATTATGCTGGATTATCTGGCTGGGACCCAAGTGCAAGCATAAGTGTCCAGGTAAGAGGGAGGCAGAGGGAGGTTGGACGTAGAAGAATGAAGTGTGACCCATGGGTCCAGGCCTTGGGTTGGTCTAGAGGGTGGGAAGGGGCACCATGAGGCAAGGAATTAACCGGATGCAGCCCTGGAAGCTGAAGGCTGCCCTGGAGCCTCCCGAGGAAGCATAGCCCTGCCGGCACCTTGACATTCAAACCGACTGTGGACTCCCAGGCCCCAGAGCTGTTAGACAATAAATGGGTATCGTTCTAAGCCCCGGGCTGTGGTAATCTGTTGTAGCAGCATCAGGGAACGAAGACCATAAGTGACTCCTAATAGATGTGTAAGTTCTCAGTTTTGGAACAATTTCAGGAAAGAACATTGCCCCTCTCTCTGAGGGTGGTGCCAGCTCATTTCTGGGCCCCAAGTCCTCTCACCCCATCCTGTCTGCTTCCCCGCGTGAAAGAGGCTGTCTCCTTGTTCTTATTTTCCTCTAAGACCATTACTTTGGAGCGATAGCAAGGGAGCCTACTTTAGTTCAGTAATTCAAGTCCCTGTCATGTATTAGACACTAGAACATTAGGCCAAGTTGAAGGACGCAGCCTCGCCTGGAATGGGGCACGTAGTTCAGTGAGGTTCGGTGAATGAGAGTAGTTCAGTGGAAATGATATTTGCATTAAGTGTTAAACGATAAGAATGTCAAGTGAAGAAAAGCAAAAGGAGGGCCAGGCAGAGGGCCAGGTGCCTGTGAGTCAGGAGGCTTAGGAGGAGAAGAGAGCGGCCCACACATTAAGATTTTTAGTTGTCAGGTATCAAAATTAATGACTTGATTCACTTAATGTTGGCTCTCTATTTTATCATCAAAAGGGGCTTTGTTTATTTGTCCACTATTCTTTCTACAAAATGATTGGAAGCTTTTTTGATTTCTGTCCTGGGGCTTATCAAACGCCTGAGCATTTTTGCAGCTGACTCCTTGAAGTGGGTCCGGAGGAGGCCGCTTTGCCTGCTGACCGGCTGAGCTTTCGTGCAGACTCTGAACGCTTCCCAAAATGCGCCTGGCTTCTGATAAATAACTCCTGGGGGTGAAAGATGAAGTTCTTGTCTGGACAGTTACTAACGGTCACCAGGAAAGTTCTCAGCTGAGTCGTTTTAAGTGTAAAGATGCAGTTTCCACGGGTCTAGTACAACCTTTGTGGCTCTGATAGTCACTGTTCCCACTTGGAGAAAGAATAAAATGATAATGTACCTGATAGCTGGACACAGACAGTTCACTTTCGGTCTCTGTTTCCACTGAATATTTTTGAACTCTTGGTGACAGCCACAAATAATTGCTTCCGGGTCAGCTCTCCTCAATCCCAGGACTCTCCTCTATGTTTCATTTCACTGGAGTTGTTTGTGTTCGACCAGCCGGCCTCGCTGCTCTCGCATGCAGTGGGCCTCTGACGGACCCCCCGGCCATGCTCCGTAACTCGCCACTCAGCCCCACAGCAGTGGGCCTGCTGCTTCCGCCCCGACCGGCCCTCAGGGCCGCCGCGGCTGCCCGAAGCTTACCTGCTGGCCGGAAGTGGAGCCCTGGGCCACCTGCTGTGTTCGCTGGTGCCTTTGGATGAAGGTGGCTCTCTGGCATGCCGCGCTCTTTTCCTCGGTCGAACTCGTCCTGTTTTCTGAGTGACATTTCTTATTCCGTCAGGGATTGTTGTGGCAGAAAATCTTCAGTAACCCACCGCCTTTGGAATACCTGTGGTTTTCTTCAAGCTTATAAATGTTTGATATATTGTGTTTCTTTTTAACTAAAAACTGTGAGTCAGGAAAGATTGGCCAGAACAAGTTAGGTGACAATCAAGAGGGGCAAGTGTGGTTTTGGATATAGATTGAACAAAAATGATGTTTACAACATCATTGGGAGAACTGACCTGGTGGCAGGTCATTAAAAGATGAACGAACCCGCCCCCCCAGGGGTGTGCTTCCCATGCGCTCGGGCGGTGGCAGGTGTGGCTGACAGCTGCCAACGGCAGGCGGCTGCGTGGATACCGCGTGGGTACCGTAACCGCACCCTCTGTTTGTGCGGGTCAGATCACATCGGAATGATTACACGGGGGTCCTTTCGGAAGACAACCTTGAAAACTTTGGCTGAGTGAAGCACTTTCACTTTTTTTAGCAGAGTTCCCACCGTCCAGAGTGGCTGCTCACTAAGCAGTGAGCTTCCCGTCCTTGCCAGCATCAGACTGGAATCTTAGCTTCAGGAGTGGGGTTCCTTCTGGGCGGTGTCCCCGTCCGGAAACAGTGCCTGGCACGGGACTGCCGAATGGATGACTAAGGGCCGAGCCACCGTGTCTTGGGAAGAGGGTCCTCAGGGAGTCCTGCATGGACGGCCGGCGGGCCTCACAGGTCCATTCCTGCAGTGAGGCTGTGCCACCTCAGTGATGTTCTGTGACAGGAAAAGTAGCTGGCAAGATCGTAAACCAGGTGATAGCATCCTCATAGATAACATTTGACCTCAGCATGTCAATGATCTTTTTGCATTTTCTCTCTGTTACTAAAACGTTGCTTTAGACTATTAGGGGCTTTAGTGACAGGCGAACGTTGGATTTTTGCACCCACTGGTCACCCAGACTGCGCTGGCGAGTCTGGGTGGCTGGGGAGGCGGCCCCCGGCGGCCTCACTTGGTCACAGGAGGCGCCCCCCGCCGGCCGCAGGGGGAGTTCCGCCGTGGTTCCTCGTGCAGCCGGGTTCCTCGTGCAGCCGGGTTCCTCTCTGACACTTTCTGAGGTGGCAACACACTGTCTCCCAGGATGCTCTTTGCACAATCCCAAAATCTCAGCCTTGGGGCAGGCAGCAGGGAGGGCTCCTGCTGCTCCTGAGGTGGTGAAAAGCGGAACGAGAGGAAGGAAGGATGGAAAAGGACACAGGAAAGCCCGAGGGATTTGGAAGTGAAAGGTGCGATCAGACACATTTCAGGGTGCAGTGTCCCCAGGGCCTGGGGGTGTTTCTTCAGGTCTGATGCACAGGCTGAGAGATGCCCGCCCTGTCCTCTGCCCCTCCTGTTGACGCCCTGCTCTGTCCCCTTGCAGAGCACCAGAACTACTTCGGGATAGACGAGAACCTTGGCCCCGTGGCTGTCAGCGTCCGGAGGGAGAAGGTGGAAGACGCCAAGGAGAAAGAAGGGTCGCAGTACAACTACCGGGTGGCTTTCAGGACGAGCGAGGTAACCGGCTGCCCTGTGGTCGCTGTCCTGGCCCGAGCCTGGGATGGGGCCCTCGAGGTTGCGTCAGACAAGGATTGCGTTTATCTTTCAATGCTAATTATTAGGACATTTCAGGCTATTGAAAGCGCTATACGTTTTCATTCCAAAGAAAAAATTTGAAAACCTGTCATGCATGTTAAGTGGCAATGATTTCACTGCCACCTGAACAGATAGAAAGGATAAGGATGCAGGGTTTTCAGGGCTGAGAAGACGAACGTGAACTCCGCAATTCATGTCTGAATTTAAAAAGGAGTTTGAATCTCACAGGGCACATCGGCGGGCCTGCCGTGGGTGACAGTTTGCCTGTATCGTAGCTCCGTCTACCCCCACTTCATTCCACGAGGACCCGGGTTGGTTTCTTGCTTGCCTTGCTTTGAGTGACAGGTGAGATTCTTATACAAATGGCGTGACAGGAATAGCCATGTGGGCAGAGATGTTGATTTATATAAAGAGTTAGGTCTGGCCTGCCCTTTGGGTTTTATTCCCTTGACTCTTGTCAGTGAGAGTCAGTTGGCAAGCGTTCCAGACCGATCGACTAGCTGGTCAGACAGAGAAGACGGAGCCCTCTGCTCGTCGCCGGCAGTGCCCTCAAGCCCGCGCCCCACTGTGCGTCCTGCCTGGTCGAGGGTGCTCTGGAGGCCTGGGCTCCGTGCTGGGTGAATACGAGAGAAAGCCCCTCTCTTGAAGTCACATCCTTTAATTACGGGCCCGTGCTATCCTATTCAGTAGCCACTAGCCACATGTGGCTACTTACATTTCAAGTATTTAAGTGAAATTAACAATTTAGGTCCTTAGGCCTGCTAGTCACAGGACAGGTGTTCGGTGGCCACACGTGGCTGTGGCCCCGCAGCAGCCAGCACAGGTCAAAGACATCCCCGTGCTGCGGAAGGCTGTGCAGGACAGTGTGTCACAGGGCACGCTGCCGATGCCAGGCGTCCCTGTCTCCCTGTCACCACAGCTTCTAGCCGCCTCCCCCAGGGTCAGAGGTGGCACTAGAGCAGACAGGCACCTGGGTTTGCGGGGCTGGAGCTGCCACTCTCGTCAAGCGAGAGCCGAGGCGTGAGGCACAACAGTGTTCCCCGCCATCATGACGTGTTTGAAGACATACCCCAAATCATGAGGCAAACTTCGGTGACAGTCTTCTCAGCCCTGAGTCACCTGTCCCCGGGTATCCCCAGTCAGCTTTAGGAATTGTCAGCATGGTAAGGTAGACAGAAGAAGAGAAAGGAGTGGAAGAAAAGAAGGAGACGTAGAGAAACAGGGAAACAAGGGAAAGAAAAGGGACGTCTGGCAGGAAAGGGATGGCGGCAAGGCCTAGCCTTGTGACCCCAGCTCCTGCTTAGCGCCCCCTCATGCTGGCCCTGGCGCTGGGGAGCGTCTCGGCCTCCCACGGCCTCACGGTGCTGCGCCCCTCCTCCTTCTCCTCCCTCGACCATCGGTCTGAGTCTGTCCAACCCGCTTGGCCGCCCACTCAGATAAGAGACTCACCTTCCTTCCTCTTTCTGTAACTATTCGCTGAACTCTCCTATCTTGCCCCTGCAGCTTACAACACTGAGAGGAGCAATTTTAGAAGACGCTGTACCGTCCACCGCGAGGCACGGCACCGCGCGAGGACTGCCTCTCAAAGAAGTCCTGGAATATGTCATTCCCGAGCTGAGCATCCAGTGCCTGAGGCAGGCGGCCAGCTCGCCCAAGGTCGCGGAGCAGCTGCTCAAGCTCGATGAGCAAGGGGTGCGTGTCATGTGTGAGGCTGATGTTCGTGTCTCTGTTTCTACGTGCTTTGGAGTTTCCCATCCATTTTTCTTTCAAGATCATTTGTTTTCTGTGCCTTGAAGGATTTTCTCTCTAGTTTATCCCAAACATGCCTTTCTGTGAGTTAAGACACATGATGCCTTTATAGTGGAATGCACCTGCTGAGTTGTGCTTTGGGTGGTTTTCTCCAAGGTTCAGTACGTCCCAGCGAGCAAGAGCACGTCTGACTTGTGATTCTTCGGGGTCAATGCTGTTTTCTCTCCAGCGTTTAAAACACTCACATCGACTGTTTTCGTGAACTAATGTTTGTTCTTGTCTGCTGTGGGCATCAGGCTGGCAGGTGGGAGTGAACAGCGTGCAGTAGGAAGGTGGAAGCCGACTCAGACCTGGCCCCTAGCCCGCAGGGACAGCAAGGCCAAGAGCACAATGGCCTTCGCAAGGCAGACTATGGTACTGGATCCGGGAGAGCCACAGACACAGAGAAAGCTTTGGGAAAGGAGAAATCTGGCAGGGCAGACCTCCCAAAGCGGGGCATTGTCGCTGGGCCTTCAGACTTGGGTAGAATTCCAAGAGGGCAATCTGAGTAGCTGGCTGTTTTAGGAACTGTGACTTGTTTCTTGACAAGAACAGGGCTCATGTAGGGAGGTGGAGAGTTGTTGATAAAACAAATTATGTTGAGCTAGAGCTGGTAAGACCAGAATGCGAGGCGCCAGAGTGCGCGCGACGGGGCAGGCGGCGGGGGCCAGTGAGGGCCTTGCAGGGGTGCGGCGCGGTGGGAGCTGCACTCAAGAGGACGACTGTGACAGCAGGGAGGTGGACAGGCTGGAGAAATCAGACGGATGGTGGCCTAGAGCTCGGCTGTGCGAGCCTTGACGTCGCCCGGGAGAGGGTAATGATGGGCAGCGTTGGGATGGTGGCCCCGAAGAGGGAATGAGGGCCTTAAAGTTTCAGATGCAGGGTGACTTGGAGGGGAAGCGGAGCGGTAGGTGTTCAGGCGTGTGCAGTTTATTCTAAATTGGAGAATTTGTTTTTACATGCTTTAAAAAACAAAGGCAGTAGCGATGTGTATTTCCAGAGTTTCCCAAGGAAGATTTTTCTGCATGGGTGTGAGGGATGCTGAGGCATCTCTTGGTCGACCCAGTAATACTCCCTGTGGTATCCCGGTGGACTATTTGACGCTCACACGGATGGAACTCTGTTGTAAAAATGATGAACTTGTCATTGGTCTCACAAGTTAACACTGCGTATTAGTCAAAGGCAGCAGGCTCTCTAACGCTCTGAATGAATGTCACCAAGATCGCTCTGTCTCGAGAATGAAGGCTGACATATTAAAACCATCTGAACCAAACCAAAACTCAGATGAGATGAGAGCAGCTGACTTCTGAAATCTTACAATTCACAGAGTAGTTTTCCCGTGATCACGCTGCTAAAGCGTGCGGAATGGAGGCGATGCCCATGAAACAGCTGAGGAAGCATGTTTTCATGGAGGGAGTGCAAACTGTTTCAAATACTCAGGATTCAAGTGGAGGGGGAGGAGGAAGGCATTCATTGTCATGTCACGAGAGTCTGTGAAGAGAGCCTGCCACCCCCGTGGGAGTTCTCGGTCCCTGTCTGTCTCTAGTGCACGCCGGTTCTCCCTGCAAACCACACCACTGCACGTGCCCATAGCAAGTGCCTGCAGCCGAGGCGCTGGTCCCTCAGGGCACACAGTGCAAGAGTCCGCAGGTGGCCCATCCCCTCGCCCGAATCCCAAGTCCTCAGGGCCCCGAGAGACATCGTGGCAGGTGTAAGTGGCTGTCTCCTCGCAGAGTGAGGTGGGTGTTTGGGAGGTCTGTGTAGCAGAACAGGACTAGGAGCTATGCCAGGCAATTTCTTGAAATAAAGCATTTTAGGTACTTTCATTGGGCACCTGTTTACAATTTGATGTCAAGGAATTCCCTTTGAGTGTTGGGCTCTGCTCTTAAGCAAGCCAGTCAGTACACCGTGAACTTCTTGTTGCAGTTCATGTGTTTCTCCTTTTGAGATTGTATTTGCTTGCCTTGTTATACTTTCTCAATGGTGTATAACATGGCATTTTTAACTTCCCATAGCTCTTCGTGGTAGCTAATTCCCATCTTACATGAAGAAATACTATTTATGTTCATCGCTAAAAGAGATGGGATGGCTTTTTTAACATCGTAGATTCTAAAGGATCCTTAAAAATGCCCTCTAACCTGTTAGCGGGTATGAGAGTTTATTGTAGGCAATACCATTTTTATTCACTTTGCTAACAGCAAATCTGCCCAGGGAGGGGCGGGCCAATCTTATGTGACTGTTGTTCATACTGATAAGATGTTTAAAGGATATATTGTCAGTTACGCTTTCCTGGAATCTGTAATCCATTCGGTTTGGAGAGAGTCACTGACAGATCTACAGGGCATGTTCGTAGCGGGGGAGGCAGTAGGTACTGAGGTCAGTTATTCCATTCCGTACGTCGGTAAGATGTTGTGAGCAAGAAGACTCTCTGCTATGGAGAATTATAAGGAAGGTAATTATTTAGCAGGACTTTGAAAGTTTTGTTACTTGATATCAACTTACCTCTCAACTTATAAAGTCCCATGTTTAATTAAGACTGTGCTGTTTCCCGCAGTTGCTCAGCTTCCCCAAGCAGGTGTCTCCCTCACTTCCTTGGATTGTACGTTGTCATGAGATGACACAGAGGAGACTGCTTTTCTCACTTTGCCACTCAAGGGACATGAGTATCCCTTTGCCTTATTTTACTGACATGGCTATGGATTTTGATCAAAGGCTCTATTTTACAGCTTGATAATAAAAAAGTAAGCCATGTTATGGATTGATGCCTTGAGGGAATTGGCGATGTCTGATAATCCATCCATTTTCGAGGCTCCGATTGCTGCTAGTAAGGTGAGGCGCTCCGATTTCACGAGTGAGAAGTGGCTCCGCTTTGGGGAAAACCAAAAAGCTCTCGAGGCGGGTCGGGTTTCTCCCAGCCTCGGGAGAAGGCCGTCCCGCGGCCTCCAGCAGGACGCGGGCTTGCCTGGGATAGGGTTGCGGCAGGAGCTCTTCAATGCCTATTAAAATTCTTTATGGTCCATTGTATACTCAGCAGATGTTTTCTTTTCAAGGGAGTCAAAAATGTAGAAATGACTTTAATTATACCGCCAAAGTCAACTTTTATGGAAACAAAACAGTGTTCTATTTACATACATACATCACAGTGTCCATTGGGATTCTTGCCTTACAGACCTGAATTTGATTTGTTTGTTCATCGCACTGTTTCACATTTCATATTTTTATGAATGTTCAGAGAACAACAACAAAAAAGAGACTGCCAGGAACCAGAGGAGGAAAGCTTATAGAAGTCTGTGGTCTTTTCCTTCCTGACCTGGAAGATGGTGCCCATTGCTCCGCAGTGGGTTGTAAGTTTAAGTATTTCTGCAGTTACATTTTTGAGTAGATGCTTGAACTTATCTCTTCATTTTAGAAACCTGGCGAATCCCACATGGCCACGCCGTCCATGTGTTTGTTAGGGTTTCTGCCATCTGTCCAGTGGTATTTTGGGGTTTCTGGGTTTGCGACCGGTTTGGAGCTGTTCGTGCAATGAGAGTTGCTGCTGCTTTGGCCTGTTCGCTTATGGGAACTGTCCTGGCGTGCTCTTCTGAGGACGGAATCCTAAGCTCCTGTTGTCTCCCTTTTCCTGGAAGTCAGCTTGCCTGACGCTCTCTGACAAGTCGTCTTCTTGCCTCCCCATTGCAGCTGAGCTTCCAGCACAAGATCGGGATCCTCTACTGCAAAGCAGGCCAGAGCACAGAGGAGGAAATGTACAACAACGAGACGGCGGGACCAGCCTTCGAGGAGTTCCTTGACCTCCTGGGCCAGAGAGTGCGGCTGAAAGGCTTCAGTAAATATCGCGCTCAGCTAGACAATAAAAGTAAGCTTCATGTTCGTGTGCGTTACTTCTCCCAAGGCACGCATGCGCAGAAACCTAATCAAGCCATCGCAGCCCTCCCGTTCTTGACCCCAGAAGCTGCTTAGCCAGCTTATTTAGGATCAAGTTTAGATTTCCTCAGATAAGTATAGGAAGCACTTTTCTCAAGAGGCATATGTTTCACATGAGCTCAAAGGTCAATTCTTCTTCCTTTGTAACATCAGCAGGAGAATCCTCAGTGTTGTGTGAAGAATCTTTTCATATTTTCTTCTTTCTTTTACCCTTGCCTCTTTCATTACACTCCTGTTCTGGTTTACCAAGGACAAGCACCGCATTCATTTCTAAAAGACAAAATATTAACACACTCACTCATGCCGTGTGCTCGGGCGGGCTTTGTGCATTCCTGGTTTCACAGTGTTATCTCGAGGGTCGGCGCTGCAATTAAAAAGCTGAGACATCGGGTCTTTCAAGGTCCTCAGTCAGGATGCCTGAGGTTCCAGATTGACTGGCAGATGTAAAATGTAGGCCTTCTGTCGACCTGGTGTGCATGTTGGTCTTGTGTCTTCACTGAGATGATCCTATTCCTCGTGGTCCTCATACATTCTAAATGCTCTGCCTTTGTTCTTGTGCTGTTGGTTGGTTGTTGTCAGCACCTAAGCTACCAGGCAGAGTAATTCTGTATATTTTGGAAAATTCTGCTTATGATCAAGCGATGAATTGCTTGTTCTTTTCACGAGAGAGGAGCAAATAGGGTCTGAAGTTGGAGGGTCCAGGAAAGTGGCCAGCCCACATCTGGTAGGGACGGTGAAGTGGGAACACCAGCAAGTGGCACGGCTGGCGTTGGGGCCACGGTGCGGGGGCTCCCTGCCTCCAGCGCCCACTCAGCCAGGGACCGTCGTTAGGACGCGCCTCCGTCAGGGCGGCGCCAGCCCTTCGTGCACTTGTCGTCAGCTGGGGGTTGGCAAGTTATCCTGAGCGGATAGACGGCAGGACCTGCGGTCAGTGTGAGCTCGCGTGTGGGCCCGTGTCCTCCCTACGTGCCTGGGTTGGATTGGCCTGTTACATTGAACGCTGTCGCTCATGTCTCACATACATAACGATAGGGGAATAATGTATAACGCCCACTGTAAATAACCACATATTTTGAAAGTTCAGCGAGACCTTCTCTGATTTTTCTTCTTTTTTCTTGGCAAACTCCTCTTACCTACAAAGCACCACCCACCCCGTAGAGGTGCTGGCACGCTGCCCTCAGGGATGCCCCCCCTTCCTGGAGCGCCACCGCTGCTGTGTGTGCCTGTCATGTCCCTTCGGTGGGGTGGGTTGAGGGTACATATTAAGAACTTATTATCTGTACAGTCTATCGAACTACAACATAGATAATGCAGATATTTTCCTAGGTATAGGATTGACATCAGCTTTGCATCGTAATGACCTTGGAGATGTTCTTGAGGCATTAGTTCTAATCACTGTAGCTCAAGGAACTTGAAACATAACAATGAGACTATGATGTGTTGATTGCAAATAAGGCGTTTTCTGAGATGCGAAGAAGTCTAAGACATTCCTTCAGTGGGAAGGAGGTTTCTAAGAATAATGTCTCACAGAAGAGTCAAATAAAAATTGTCTTTCTTAGAACGTACAAAGAATAGTTACATTCAAGAGAACTGTGCTCTAGTTTTAACTGCTGTCAAATCTGGGCCTCTTTTTCTTCATAAGGGAAATTGGGAGTGTTTGGTAGCTGGAATGTCTCTTTCAGCTTTAAAATGGGGTGGTGGTTTCTCTCTTAAGCACACACTGAAGTGGGCAGGGCCAGAGCAGGTGTGAGCTGCTGAGATGCTCTGCTCACCAGAGAGCAGAGGCCCCAGGCGTGGGCAGTGTCTCCGGTCTGGGTGCAGAGAATGGCGGAGGCGGACACCGCTGCGGTGCCCTGTGTCTCCTCTTGAATGGAACCACGTGGGCGGCCCTGAGTAAGCTGGCCAGTTGCCTTCTCTGTCACCAGGCCGCTGTTCAAGATGAAACACTTCCAGAATTTCATCTCTTAGCCCTGCTTGGGATAGACAGATGATGTATCAGTATCCACGTGCAAACATTTTAAATACCCCCTGTGCTTATGAAATTGCCTCTGTGAGCACCTTTTCAGAGCGTGCAAAACTATATATTTCTTAGAATTTTCATGACTATTTTTGAGTCAGATATAAATATTGGAAATAAAAAACTTATTACGGGATTCAGAAAGGCCCCACAAAGATTAACTGTTTTAATGTTTTTAAGGTAAGAATGCACATTTCTAGATTTTAATAAAAGGTCGAGCCAAGATGACCAGTTAGAGTTTACCCAACAAATACAACAGAACAAAATTTGTTTGAAATGATGTTGAACAGTATTGTCTCTTATTTTTTTAAAAGGCAGAAAAAGATACCTGCATGTAGGTCAAGGATTGAGAAAGGCAGCCTTGAATTCCCTTTACATCTTAATTTTATTTATATTTATCTTTTTGTCTTTATTTGTTACATGCAGAGTGGTTCAAAACTGGATCCTAAAATGATCACTTAAATGTCTATAGTTACCATGTTGGTTTGGGTGCCTGACACTCTCAGTCTGAGGTAGTCTGTTGACAATACAGATGGGTTTTGAATCACAAAGAATCATTCTGCTTTGCAAAAGTTGAATCGCCGAATGATTAACAGGGTTCATGTGTCACAGTTTTTAACATGTCAGTTCATAATGTACAGTAAGAGATCACATTGAGTCTCTGTGGTCCTAATCTTGTGACCGTATCATTGCATTGCCTGCCAAAAACAGAAGAAGATTATTTACATCACTCAGGGAAAGAAATCTTTAACATCGCTCCCATTTCCATTCGGAGTCGATCCTGATTTGTTTCCCTGAATTCTAACTAAGAACTAACTCACTCGGCTCACTCGGCTGGGGCAAGAATAATGGCGGGTCAGCTCATGCCCTTCAAATAAGTGCACCCACTGCTCCTCCCACCTCCTCCCTCTTCTGCTGACCTCACCCCTGAGGCTCATCTAAGTCGGGAGGCTAGAGTGTAGGAGGGAACCCTGAACTCAGGCGAAGGCACGTGGGTGAGAGCAGGCAAGGCCGCAGATCCGGGCTGGAGGGCGGCAGAAACGGTGCGGGGTGAGAGAGCAGGGGCCGGCAGGACACTGGTTGTTTACAGGTGAGTGGTGTGTTGTTTCATCTGCATTGCCTTTTGTAATAAGGATAGTCTAAGGCTTGAATCGCTCATTTTGCTAACTCGTTTCTGTAATTATCTTCGTCTCCAGCCGACTCGACAGGAACGCACTCCCTCTACACCACGTACAAAGATTATGAGCTCATGTTCCACGTGTCCACCATGCTGCCCCACATGCCCAACAACAGGCAGCAGGTACGTGCCCCTCCCCTGCCCGCTGTCCCTGCCCAGCTCCGGCCAGAGCCGAGGCCAGCCCGTCGGGGGATTCATGCAGATCGAATTCGCAAAGAAACGTTGCCTTTTTCTTTTATTTTCCTTGAAAGGCATTCGTAATCTTTGACTAATTATTTGGAAGTATTTGGGCTTTAAAGGGAGTATCACTGCATGTGTTTTATTGCACTTTTTCCTTATAAAACTTAGAAACTCTTCCATACTCACCTTTATTTCTTGCTAGGCAACATCTCCAGGGAAACCAGTGTCAACTGTTAATTATCAGAAGGCCAATGTGCCACCTGAACTTTAGTTTCCGCGTGTGGGTAGATGACTTATGTAGAGAACACACTGTAAGAAAGGATGTTAAAAGTCATTCTTGGCATGGCTGAATTTTAGGGGGTTGATTGTATTTGGGTTATATCGGGAGCTGAAACAAAGTTTGTTTTCATGCTTAGGAAACTGCGTTTTCCTGAGGTCAGTTAACTGCACTCTTTGGCTCTGAATGTATTAAATCACTGAGGACCACGTTGGAGTTGCTCAACAGTTACTTGTTGAATGAACGAAACTTAAGTGTTGCAGAGAATTTTTTTAATGCTAATGAAATTCAACTAAGACAGTCAAAATACACATTTTGCCAAAGAAAAGCCCACTTGCCTTGTCCCTGTTTCTGGCTGTAGGAAGCACCGTAGGTCCTGCAACCAGGATGGGAAGGCAAACCTCGCTGCCCCACCTGGACCCTCACTTTAGGGGCGGCTCCGCTTCCCGTTTCTCTCCTCATGGTAATTCCTAGATGGATTTCCTTGCCATTTCTGTCTAATACTTAACCCCACCCCTGCCTTCCTGGATTTTCTACCTATTTGTCTAGTAATCAAAGTTCTTCTCACTACCTCCAGAAGTTCGATTTTTTAATCACGTCATTGTATTTTTTCTGAGATGGAGCGATTGTCACTAGATCCATGTGTATGCATGTATATATGTTTTAACCTGAAAGATTTCTGTCTCTGAAATGATTTATTTTGAGTAATGCCCAGTAGATTCACTAGGTATGAAGACACTGCCTTGAGACCATTGTCCCCAGGTGCTCCTGAATCATTCAGGAGTAAACCCGTGTGCGTTGTCACCCAGGCTGGGCTTTCTCAGGCCAAGCACATCTGTCAGCACGTGAGCAAAAAGAGAGCGAGTGCCTTGTGACCCTAGTCATCCAGTGTTCAAACCACAAAGCCCTCTGGGTCCCCGCTCACTGGCACCGGGCTCCACACTGGGCTGGCCCCACCATCTCTCATGTGGCAACCCTGACTTCTCCACCTCCTTTTTGTGGTACAGAAATTGAAATTTGTGGGTTTATGAGTTCTCTGTCCCTGTCCCTTTTTTTTTTTTCCAGTGAAACTATCCTTGAAAAGTCCTACATGTAAAAAATGTGTGTGGGGAGCAGAGAGGGGTAGATGTGTGTTTTAAACTTCCCAAACTAGAGATTTAAAACATGCATCACAAAGCTAGTAGCTAGGATTCAATTCGTGAATTTGAATCATAGCTACTGATTTTGTGACATTGGGCAAAATTTTTTATGTTTTAGTTTTCTTTATTCCTGAAGACAAAGAGTTTTCTCCCTTTTTTTTTCCACCCAAGTGTCTCTAAACACCTAGAATGGTACCCACAACATGGTAAGCAGCATTTATTGAATTAATTATTAAACCTTCCTTAGATGGTAATTAGAATTAGATGAATTAATACATATAAGTGCTTAAAATTGTGCCTGGCACAGAGTGTGCTCAGTAAGTATTAGTAGTTACTGTTATTTTCAAATTTACCAAGTAGAAAGCATAACTATTTTAGGTGACTTTATTTTCATTTTATTTTCCTGTTTCCAATCCCAACGATCTATTATGTAAAACTGAGGCCTGAAGAGTTAAGAAAGCAAGGGCCTAATTTACCAGTAACTTCATAAAGTTACTTTCACTTTGACATTCAGTGTTTGGCTAATCATGAGTTGTCATCAGAATACTGTGTTCATGGATAAATGATGTCACTGTACAGTCTTAGAACACGTGCTTTCCAAATTTGTTAAGGATTCTGCTGACTCTCTCCATCTCTCACCCACCCCACCCGTGCCCACAAATTACGTTAATGCCAAGTGGCCAGCTGGGCTTATGGCTGCATGTGGAGGCCGCAGAACTTAGCACAGTTAAGTGGTCTACACACGAACTGTGCCTATAACTTTGGCCTGATTAGCACCGTGGTATTTGTGACTATTTAACTGGTCCAGACTCGTCCACATCTGATATCATTTCTTATGCTTGTTCTTATAATAAATCAAGCTGAAAGCCAAGAGGTAGTAAAAGTCTTTAGAGGATTCACCACAGCAAAAAAGTTCAACCTTTGGAATGTCTGCCTCTCACCAAGGAAACCTCGCCAGACCAGGGAGTGATAAGAAACCCGCGCCGCGGCCCCCCCCCCCCGCCCCTGAGTGCTTTCCTTCCAGAGTGCGTCCCACAGGTCTTGGGGCCTGTTTGGTGGTCAGTCCCCTTTCACTGGGCTGTCTCCCTGGATGTTTCCCTTCTGCTTGTCTGGTGGACAGATCATAGTGAAGCAATCAGGGTGTTATCAGTGGAAAGAACTCCACAAATTAGCTTCAAGCTTCACTTTGGCAGAGAAACCTTTCCTTCAAATTAAGTGCATAAAACAGATGAAGGGAACCTGGCGCCTGGCACTTGATAATTTTTTTTCTTTTAATGCCTGCGTACAGTTAGAGACGCTTTCCTTGGAAGGGGTGCTGAGCCCCTTGGAGGTCCCTAAGCAGTAAGACTGAGCCTGTAGGTTTCTGAGAGTCCACCTGGAAAACACTGGTCTGAGCCTAGTGATGGGCCAGGAGAGCAAACTGCCTTTTTCCGTCTACTTTGCTAGGTTTTAAAAATTAACAAATGAATCTGCAGAGACAAGGGAGACGCAGCTCCTTAGGTTTGAGCCGCTTCTCCATGTAGCTCAGACAGCTGGTCGACCCCTGCCTTGCGAGGTTTGTGCACTTCTCTAAGTTCCTAACTGGTACAGCAGGGGAACTGTTCAATACTGGAGGAGTCTCTCTCCTGAGTGCCCTACGAGCAGCTCCTGGCTGCATTTGGGTTCACTTATAATGTGGGATATTTTTGGGAGAATGAAGTGCTTATTCAGCTTTCCATGATTTGTTTTATTCCCAGGCTCTAAATAGGAATGTACACTTACACCTGATGGTAAGAATTTTTGCTTAGAATAATGGTTGTTATTGCCCAGTGTCAGAAGAGAGATATTTGTAGCATCGTAATCCTGTTAATTTTCATTTCATTATTAAATCATCACAAATCCACATCTTGGCTTATTTGTATTTCTCCATTTGCAAAATATTCAGCCTTGCTTAACTGTTTTGTACATTTGCTCTTGCTATTGAGAAAATATTTTGCATTTTATATAATATTTAATATTAAATATTTAAAGTAATATTTCATATTGGTTATATGGAAACGATAACTCAGGGATGAATTGTGGAAGCGGTAAGTAGCTTTGACAGGAGCTTTCTGCGGATCTGAGATGAGTGGTTGACCAGGGTTCTGCGTTTCCGGAGCAGGTGGGCGGGGCTCAGCTTCTCTCTGTATAGACCTTTTGTATTTGTGTGGTAACATCTGCAGGTTTCCCTGCCCTTCTTGCTACTCAGGTTACTGTTCTGTGTTCACTTTTTGCACGTCTTTCCACAGGTAACTAAATACCTCTTAAAAGTCAAAGGAAATTCTAACCACTGGTACCCAGTCCAGTATAGAATATATGAGGGGTGTGTTGTGTGTGTTCAGTGTACACACATAAAATTAAGAAAGTCGGTGTAAAAAGGGAGAACCTTCCCAGGCAAGGGGTTGGCAGGTCAGAACAGCTGTGGCAGAACCAAGCAGGCGTGGTGGAGGGCGGGTGGCAATAAGCTCAGAGAGGCAGGGGGAGCTGTGGGCAGCCCTGCTCTTCCAGACTGGACTTCAGATCCCAGTGCTGGACCCAGGGATTAAGGTCCAGCTCTTGGGATTGTTCTCTTACGGCAGTGCGTTTAATTTTTTGCTCAGTTCTGAGCTCGTCTCTTTGAATTTCAGAACTTGTAATCATTAAATGATGCAGATTTCTCTTTGAAGTCATGCTCATTTTCACGTATTTGCTCCTTAAGCCAAGCAGCACTCGGGAGCTCTGCAGCCTCAGCTTTCTCTTCTCTTGACTCTCAGACACTCCGAACCATGTCCTAGCTGCTGCTTCCATACTGTGAAGCCTGCTTCACTCTCCCCTCCAGAGTTAGGTGCAAACTGCCTTTTTCCGTCTACTTTGCTAGGTTTTAAAAATTAACAAATGAATCTGTTTGCACAGAGGCTCTAGATCTGCCTCGTTCACCTTCATGACACTCTGCTCCGCGCGCGGCTGCCCGAGAGCGCTTTGTTTTTCCTTGGTTTGGACGCTGCTCCATCTCGCAGCCAGTCCTGTTCAGCCCTGACCTTTGCTTAGGGGATGGAGAACAGACCCTGAAAGGCTGCTGTTTCCGGGGCATCTGCGAAATTCGCCACGGAACTGGGTGGAGAATCACATCCTCACTCTCCTTGTCACAACAAGAGCTTATTTCTGTTGCAGCTTGAATCAAGTGTTGGAAACTTTGTAGAGCTCACTGTGTAAATCTGATACAATGCTTATTAACTCTTGCAGTTGGAGACACTGAGTTGGCTCTCTTGGCGCCGAGGAAGTGTCCTGAGCTTCAAATGCCTAGAAAGGAGAAGTCCCCCTAGTGGGAGTCATCTCCTAACCCCCAGTCCCCACACAGACAGCGCCTGCCGGCCAGGCGCCCGCCTTCCTGGTGTGCGGGGCTGCATTTGCTTGTGGGCTGACACCCCTCTCCCCTTCTAGTTCCAGACTCTGGTTACACGGACCGTCACTGACCAGTGAGTGAAAAAAATGGCACTAACCGTGAAAGAAAACATTCACCTTTTATAAGACGTCCAAGAAATTACTTATTTGTTTGATAAAATCTTAGGAAACAGTGAATAATGCTTTGGTTAACTTTCCAGATGTTATATTTCCTTCATCTCGAGTCAAATTGAAGCATCCTGTTCACGGATAAGGTGTTGAGTTTTCTTATTTTATTCTCCTACGAAGAGTTTTAGATTTTAGTCTTCCTGATGACTCTCCTTGCGCCCCGCCCCCACATACACTTTATTTTTTCTGCAAAGTGCCTTTTGTGACCATGGTGAAAAAAGAACTAGACTTTTAAAAACATTCGGGCCCACTTTACAAAGCAAAAGAATGTGCTCCAAAAGGGAAAAAGCGGCTTGACTGTTGTCAAGGTAACCAGTCTTCAAGTTTCCTGTAGCCCCCGCGCTCTAAAAACACCTGCAGCACAGTGTGGAAGGGGACCAGAGGTGACCCATCCCCCCTCAGGGGGAGGGGCCTCTGGAGAGGAAGAGCTCTCCTGTTCGCCGGTACAGCTGTCACATCAAGGAAGCCCAGGCTAAGGAGGCCACGCCCGCCCAGCACCTGTGATTGAGGGAGCCTGTCACAGGGGAGCGTGGCCAGGAGTCCGGGCGGTGGGGGGCTCTCGTGGCCACCGTGGCTCTGCCTTCTATTTGTTAACCTGAGATTTCCTGTGTTTCAAGGATACTGAGTGAAGGACGGCGTCAGCTCTTGTGTTCCGTGTTCACCAGATCTGTGTTTAACACAATGTTACGCATTTTAGCTGTTTTTTTTTTTTTTTAACTTCCCACGTGTTCTTGCGTTTCCCTTGTCAGGTTACAATACATACGAATCATATATTTCAGTTATTAGGGAAATGAGGGAAGAGACTGTCCACCCAGTATAATTTTTCAGCTTTCCCATTGATGTTTGTTTTAGATACTTATCTTTGCTTCCATTTGCTTTTCTTTGCATGAACTATGTTTCGTGGGTCACGTCTGGGTCTGCTACAGTGTGGGTCAAGAGTAACACATTGAACATGTCCCAGTGCGTTATGGTTTTTTTACATGCATCTGAAGTGACACATTTTATTTAAATATCTAGCAAAATTTTAAAAAGTACAGAAGACTCATGGGGTTGGTATTAGTATAGAGTAATGCATGTTTCAAAACTTCCCTGACAGTAGATGATTTTCATGGGTTTCTAGCTTTCACCACGGGGATTTAAATGGGAAATATTGCCATATGATTCAGCAGTTTCATTGGCACAGAGAGAACTGTGGGAGGAGGGACACTTCGCCCCCACCGTCCCAAGCCCTCTATTGTGCTCAGTCACAAGTCAGGGGCCTGACCGGGGAGCCCTTTTTGTACTTGCATTTAAAGGGTTTTAAAAGGTAAACTTAAGCTCTTTACAGCAAGCAGTGTGTGTTCTGTAGGTGCCAAGTACAGTTAAGAGCAAGCGTGTTGTCTTTGTTACTGCTGGCTGAGACAGGCTCGCCTCCTGGGATGGCCCCATTCCCGCAGTGACATCGGCACCTGTGTGAGGTTTACTGGGTCTCTTAGAACCTAGGGTCACAGCTGGGAGCTCAGATGCAGAAGCTTGCTTGCGTAGACTTAACGGCGAGCCCTGTGTGGGGGTCTGTCGGCATGTATTCCGAGGTGCTCACCGCCTCGGGGCGCTGTGTGTGTGGCTGTGACTACCAAGTCTGTCACCTGTCTATGCATTTAGCAAATGCGGGCTGGGAGCCTGCTGTGTCCAGGCAGGCCATGAAAAGCTAGGGAATCAGGAGGCGGTGAGATGCACCCCCCTGCCCTCATGAAGATCGGCCCCAACACAGAAGTAAACGGACGATTAGACTATTCTAAGCACAACCACTAATGCTGTAGAGACAGGCTTGCGAGTGTGGGCGCAGCCCCGACCGGGGCTTGCTCGGAGCTCTCCTGTGCGGTGCGGCGGCGTCTAAGCAGAGCTCCGAGTTGTCTAGGAGAACCTCGAGGTGAAGGGGCACCCTTGGCAGAAGGAACATTGAAGTAAAGGTGTTAAATGTTCACATGTCACTGCCCTGGGGTTCCTGCTCTGCTGCCTCGTTTGTGATTTACAGGACTACAGACGTCTTACTGGGTTTTCCAGCTGTTAATCTGATAGAATTCTGTGTTTCTGAGTTACATTTAAAATACCAAATTTCAGTGAATTAGTTGAATATATCAACCACCGCTCTGACAGGGTTGTGCATTTTTGTTGCAGAGACGCACGTCACGTGGGAGCACAAAAGACAGGCCCCTTGCACCGCAGTGTGGGACTTCCAGCAAACCTGTGCCCTCTTGGACTCTGTCCCCTCCTTTAAGTTTAAGAGCTTAAATCATAAAATTTCTTAAAGCATTTTCAGCTCTGATGTGCTATTATTTTCCACTAAAAAAGATGAAGAGGAGCAAGAGTTCAAGTTAAAAGAGATAAGCTTAGAGTTAGGCTTTTCTTCCCTTAGGGCTTTGGAGGCAGCCCAGTTTGCTTTTCCTGGGTCACATTCAGAAGCACTGGCTTTAAAAGAAGGCCCTGCTTTTCTAAATAACCTTGTTCCATTGAGAGATGAGTGAATTGAATATAGTTACGTATTTTGTTTTCACAGAAAATCTTGTTTGTAACTCTGTGTGTGTGTGTTCAATGTCTTAACTGCAGCTTCTGAGGAAAAGGCATATAGGAAATGACATCGTGACCATTGTCTTCCAAGAGCCTGGAGCACTTCCTTTTACTCCAAAGAGCATCCGGTCCCACTTTCAACACGTCTTTGTCATAGTCCGAGTGCACAATCCATGTACTGAAAATGTGTGTTATAGGTGAGTCACTTGTCCCTGACTTCTCATTCTCCCGGGTTTATTTCAACAGATATTTTTGTTCTCCAGTAATTATTTTTCAACCCCATAATTATTTTTTTCTAATTATATTTCCCACTCTCTTCACTCAGATGCTTTCTGTAATAAATAATTGCCTTCTTCCCATTTTTGGAAAAAAAAAATGAAATGCCTCACAGTTCAGAATCATAAATTATATACTTCCTCCTTTTCCCCCTTAAAAACTTCCTCCAGAAAGTTCCCTGCCGGAAATCTAACTCAATTGTTCCCAGGCTCGGAGGTGGATGATGTGGCCCTATCAGTTCTTGAGCATGAGAAACCGTCGCCGTGGTGAAGCTGTGCCGCGCGTCCCGGCTCCTGGGCACACTCAGCCGGTGGGGCTGCAGGACCGAGGGGCTCCCGCTCGCCTCAGTGGCTTCCCGCTGCCGTCCTCGCGCTCAGACCCAGCCCCCCAATCCCAAGGCTGTTTCCGACAGCGCCTGCTTTTCTCCTTCCTCCTGAGAAGGAGGAAACAGCTGCTGCTGAAAGATCTTATGTGGGGCTCCAGGAAAAGAGCGGGCCTTCGACCTGAGGTCGGGGTGCTTTGTATGAAATCTTTTATTTTTTCAGAGCCTTTGATTTCTTCTCTAAAACGTGAGGATAATAGTACCGACTTCAGTGTGTAGTTGTGAAGGAAGAGCAGAAATTATGCAGAACAACTGGAGAGTCCCTGACACTTGTCATAGATTATTTCCTTTAATGTCTTAACACGGCCGTGGTCAGTTTGCTGCCGATGGGGCCTGGGTGGGGCACACGAGTGTGGGTGTGAGGACATAGTTTGGGGGGACGTCTATGAGGACCAAAGAGCATGGCCTCAAGGCAGAGAAACCACTCTGTGCACGAGATGTCGCCAGTTGACACCCCCAGCCCCTCCTAAAGGCACATGGGCTGTAAACCAGGAGTCCTGGGCTGCGCGTTGCCTCACAGTCGGCTGGTTGAACTCGGCCGCCGGCTGGCCGCGCTGTGCGGGGCTCTAATGCAGCAGGCCTGGCCCCTGTATGTTTTCTCCCTTGGTGGTCGTTGTACGCAGCCGCGTAGACCACCACTGGCCCAATGCTCAGCCCACTCGCCACTGCTCACAAAACAGAAGCAGAGGGAGAAGAAGAAAAACTGTAATATCTGTTCTATATAAACACAGTGCTTAAATTATGTTGCTGCCAATATGGTCAATTGGCTTGTTCTTCTGAGATCTCACCCTAAGAATGGTAATAAGAAGGTTCTTAAATGAACCTTCTTAATGGATTGGAAACATGAGCCTAGGTCTGTGTTGTAGCTGCTTTTATTTTATTGGCTGCTCTTTTTAGGCCAGATCAAGTATTTTAAATTACTTTCTATCTTTAGTGTAGGCTTATATCATGAGGCGGTTCATTAGTGCAGACAATCCTGAAGATACATAAAATCAATTTATTTTTATTTATTTCAGGTTTTCTGGGTTTAATTAAATCACCAGAGAGGGATGTTTTGGGTGTAGAGCTTACTTGGGAACAGAGTGGATTGTGCTGTTTCCTGTGATGGAAGACGGCACCTGCAGACCCCTCAGCGATGGACTCTCTGGTTTTCAGAAACCACTCTGCTGTCACTGAGTGTCCATTGCCCATTGAGCTCAAGCGTAAAGTCAGCAGATAAATGTAAAGTCGCTAGAGTGTCTGGTGTTTTGGAACAGCCTCAAACACTCTGTTGATCATGCTGAAAATGAGTATTCCTCAGTAAGTCAACGCTAATCTTCTGAAATGCTGTGGCCAGATCAATTCCCTAATATTTTATGAAGTCATATTCAGTCTGTCATGTGAAACAAGGTTACAGCACCCAGATTCCACCAAATTTTCCAAAGACGCCTTACAGATCTGTTTTATATGCTGTTCCTCAAAACATACCAGTGGCAAAATAAATTCATTAAAATGATCCCCAAGAAAATGATAAAATATTCCAGGTCTCCTGTTTTCTAAATTGCGATGTCTTAATCCATGATGCAGTTTAAAGAAGGCTGGATGGATCATACACCAATCAGGCAAACCCTCCCAAACAGCTTCTCTCATGAGCTCTGTGCAGGTGGGGAGGCAGGGAGCCTGGCTGATACCCACAGTGCCGTCTAGTGCAGACCCGCAGTTCAGGTGGCTGGTGGGTTGGCAATGACCTCCTTTCATGAAAACGGTGCTGCCCAGTGAGTGTGCACGTCTGCATGCGTGGAAGAGATGCTCTCACCTCACACGCATGGTCTCCATGGCATCACCCACGGATACAGCATCCTCACCAAAGGAAAGCTGGGTCCACTTGAACCAAGAGAGAGATGAGCAGGCAGCGTCCCCAAAGCTCCACGTAACATGATTTTAGCCTGAAACTGGAAGGGCAAATGCAACAAATCACCTCCTTCTTTATATAAGATTCTTTAATTGTATTAGTTGCAGCCACTGCAGAGGTGACTTGGAGGAATTTATGTGTCCACGTATTTTCCAAGATAAACTCACAGCAAAACATGTCCCTAACTATGTCAGCTCCTTGCTCCACGGGCTTGGTAGCTGTCAGTTAAAAAGCGAAGAGATAATCTATAAAGATTGATGACTTCCACTTCAGAAAACTCAATATGCGGCCCCTCCTGATAAAAGTTAGATTATAATGTTAGCTCAATGATAATGATTAAAGCAATTGTGACAATAATAATGACCATAGCTTGGATCACGATAGCTTTACATGCAGTATTTTGTTTAATCCTCACAGTGGGCTTTGAGGATGGTACTGTTTTGACCTCCATTTTACGGATGAGGAAACTGAGGCACTGATGAGTTAAGTAATTATCTCAGAGTCTCTCTGAGCAGCAGAGCTGGGGGCACCGGATGCCAGAGTCCACTCTTCACCACTGTGCCTAATGAAAACCCTCGACTTTGCATATTAAGGAAAGCACGTCTGTATTGTCTCTTTCAGGGGAGGGGTCTTCTAAATCATCAACAAAATTATCAAGTTCTTGGGGTGAAATTAGTTCTGAAAATTATTCTTGTTTCTACCCCAATTTCCATTGGGAATTACCTAAATCATGCAAAAGAATATTCCTTTTGACCTCAACTCTGCTTGGAAGACCTAGGGATTATATAAATTTTGTAACAGGGGACCTGCAACCGATCCCCAACCCCCGCGCATGGCAGAAGTAACCCTGTTGAAGCCCTGCTGCTTGTCTTGTGCAACCCTGCTCTCAGATGCACAGGGTTGCCGTGTGTGGAGCAGGCCCATGTCGCACCCGCAGAGGGGATTCCAGGGAGCTATCAGGGTCGGTGATTTGGAGCGAAAGGGAGCTCCGCAGTGAGAACCACCTGAGAGCACATTCAGGTATAAAGTTTCTCTGCAGCTTTGGCTCTAAGTGCACACAAGCCACAGTCAGGGCTTGAAATCCACAGAGCCTGAAAGACATCCTGCAAGGTGTCACGTGGGACTTGGCCTCCACCATCCTGTGAGGTGACCACAGAGAGCGGTCGCTGGAGTATAGGCCTAGTACTGGGAGGGCAGGTTCTAGTACGCAGAGGTCACTGAGTGCGTTGACTGGAGTAGAGGAGAAGCATCGAGGTGAGGTGAGGCGAATCACAGTCCATACCGGCAGCTTTGGGACAGCGTTCTGGGTGCTACCGTGAGCGGACACCTAATTTCTGCTCCATATAGAACGTCTTCAAGACCTTCCTTTCAGGACATGAGTCATGTCCCTCGCACCACTCTGTGGTGTGGTGCGTGTACGCCACCATGGATGAGTTTGGTGTGTCCGCCCAGTGGGAAGCGGTCCTTCCCTCCCCTTTCATCCTGACTAAGCAGCCCCCGCCACCTCCGCCAGTCCTCAGGGTCACTACTCAGTTCCCAGAAAGTGACTCACTCGACCGCAGAGTATGCAGGCTAAAGCAAACTCGAGAGCTTTCTGGGGACTAGGAGCTTTTTAGAGTCTAACCTACCACATTTCAGAAAATGAATTCACACCTGGCAACCAGTTTGGACAGCATGTTTTCATGCCTTAATTCATCCCCTTCAGGATTTTCCTGCATGATGAAAATGGAACCTCGATTGCTTCCTTTGTTTATCCCAGCACAGAAAATACCAGCCTGGGCAGATGTGGGATTCGTACAGATTCTTGGTCTGCAGTCGGGGAGTGGATGCTGTCGGCCTCATTCACTTACTCACTCCCGTCTTCTATTTGTTAATTTATTAATCAACTCTTTATAGTTGATCTTATTCCAAAAAGGATTTGACACAACTGAAATGTCTCTTTGATGTAGGGGAGCATCATTGGTTTTGATATGTTAAGATGGTTGTTAGTATCACTGTGCATTTGATTTTTTCCAGTCTCTGGAATCTTTTAAAATGACTCCCATAAAATATTCATTTAGATTTTCAAACTGTGATCAAGCGAGTATTTCCTGAAAAAAAATGACCCTTCCGAATCTTGAAGCTGTAGGTATGACTGTTGCGTCCAGTACCAGTGACATCCCAGTCAGCCTCCGAGGCCAACCTCGCTTCTGTTGGCAGCGTCACTGCCATTCTCAGCGAGCATGAGCCACAGAGTTAGAGCGCCAGCCTGGTACAGGCGGAAGCTGCGTATCCCATTCCACGACGGATTCATTACCCACCCCCGACTCCCCATCCCCCCATCTTAGCCAGCTCAGGCGGCCGTGGCAACTACCACAGATTCTGTCCTCACAGTTCTGGAGTCTGGAATTCCCAGGCCAGGGGGTTGGCAGGTTTGGTTTTAACCCAAGGCTTCTCTCCTTGGCTGGCAGGTAGTGTCTTCTCCCTGTGTCTTCACATGGTCTGTCCTCTGTGCAGGTGCATCCCTGGTGTCTCTGGGTATCCAAATCTTTTGTAAGGACACCAGTTAGATTGGATGAGGGCCTACCCCTCATGGCTTCATTTTGACTTCATCTCGTTAAAGACCTCGTCTCCAAACATAGTCTCATTCCCAGCCCCTGGGGGCTAGGACTTCAACATACAAATTTTGAGGGAGCACAGCTCAGTCCATAATGCACCTTATCTACAAGGTTAAATACAAACAAATAAATAAAAACTTGGCATCCAGAAATTAGGGTGGCAAGTAGCTACAAAACAGATGGCTAAGTTGAAAGTGTGTGTGTGTCAGGTTTCTGAAAGTAAGTATTATGGCTTCACAGCTCATCTTGTTTCTTTTTTTCCTCCTCAGTGTTGGCGTTTCTAGGTCAAAAGATGTGCCACCGTTTGGCCCACCGATTCCCAAAGGCGTAACTTTTCCAAAGTCAGCCGTGTTTCGGGACTTCCTTTTAGCCAAAGTAATCAACGCAGAAAATGCAGCCCATAAATCGGAAAAGTTCCGAGCGATGGCCACTCGGACGAGGCAAGAGTACTTGAAAGATCTGGCGGAGAACTTCGTCACGACCGCCACCGTGGATACCTCCGTGAAGTTCAGCTTCATTACGCTGGGTGCCAAGAAGAAGGAGAAAGTGAAGCCGAGGAAGGACGCCCATCTGTTTAGCGTCGGGGCGATCATGTGGCACGTGGTAGCGCTGGACTTCGGCCAGTCTGCCAACATTGAATGTCTGCTTGGGATTTCCAATGAGTTCATCATGCTGATTGAAAAGGATTCCAAGAACGTGGTCTTTAATTGCTCCTGCCGGGACGTCATTGGGTGGACCTCGGGACTGATGAGCATCAAAGTGTTTTATGAAAGAGGAGAGTGTATCCTTCTGTCTTCGGTGGACAACTGTTCTGAAGACATAAGGGAGATCGTTCAGCGGCTGGGAGTAAGTACAGGTTTTATATGCCTGCCCTCCTTAGGTCTTCAGTCCCATGTTCATGGTAGCTTTCCCTGTGGAAATGCCTTGAGAATTATGGTGTCTAGGGAATGAATTACTGTTTCTTAGGGATCCAGAGCTTTATTTTAAATGCTGTGTTGTCGCTGAATACACGCATGGTAGAGAAGCAACCATTATAAGTTGTTTGGAAGGGGAGAAGGAAGGCAACTTTCAAAAGGGAATATCGGGTTATATTTTTATAGTGTTTGGAGGGAAAACAGAAATATTGTCTAGATAGTATGTCTGCAGAGATGGACACGCCATTACCTTCCCAGAGGGAATTCAGGGGGCACAAAATTGCTGCTGATCATAGGAACGCGCACGTGCTCTCCGCGTCTGCAACTCTGTGCTTGTTTGCACCGTAGGTATTTTCATTGAAGCTGCCAGGTTAAATGTTACTCTTAACAGCCACCATTTCTTAAGGACGTTTTATAGAATCACGCACAAAAAAATAAGTCACAAAAGATTGTTTTAATGTTTTCTTTAGTACAAAACTCCTAAATATGATGTTTATGGGTTTAACAGTTGTATTTCTACTTCTAATTTTAACAAAGATAACAGATTTTAGTTTTGACTATATACAATAGAGTTATAAGAATAAATCCAATATAAGAACAAACCATTTTTCAGCAAAAGTATTACTTGTGTAAATTGTCCCCCAAGGGATGTTTATTTCATTAATTAGAAAAGATTTATTCAATTATGGATCATGAAAAAAGGAGACATTGTCCCCATTTCCTGCCCCTGTCCTCCCACCAAATATAAATCTGTTCTTTGTTATTCAAAGTCATATACAAGAGACAAGACACTCAAGTCAGTGTCTGCCGGCCCTGGAGAAATAATTTCATTATTTGCAGACACTATTTACAGGCATAGGCCCCGTGTGGTCACCAGTGGAGTCGGCTGTGTGCGTGCACGCCGCGATGTGACTCAGGGATGACAGAGCACATGATTAGTTTACAGGCCTGGAGAACTGAGTTACCCCCTGGAGTCTCAGGACTCACGGTGCTTCCAGGAATATTGCAAGCGCTTCTCTTGAGGAGATCCACCAAACCACCATACTCTGTGCTCCCGAAAATAAAACACAGAACAAATGCCTCTCCCCCAGCCGCCGAAATGCACGTGCCCTCAGCCTCTTACACAGTCGTGGTTCCATGGTCCCCACCCTCCCCCTTTCCTAGAAAGTGGCTGTATCACCGATGTGACCCCGGTGGCTGATGTGTGGAATACATTTCAGGTGCTGTGTTCTGTGTTTGGGATGACTTGCAGCAGGAGGTGTGGGAACACTTCCCCCACAGACGTGTGGGGGTAGCACCTACAGGGGGTGCAGGGCGGTAGCAACAGAAACAGAAGGGAGGAGCACCGCATGGCCCTCACAGCGATGTTGGGGGCGACAGATGTAAGCCCAGGGTGCCTTCAGCGGGGCGGGAAGTGAAGTGGAAGTCCTCCACTCCTCAGGCAAAGACAGGAAGGGGGCGCGAGCCCAGCCCGGAGGGACAGGCCGGCCGGCGTCCTGGGCGTGCGTCCTGCACCATCACGTAGGACAGCTCTCAGAAGGCCCCGGCGTGGTTCAGTCCTCTCCTCTTGCGATCTTGCAATTCTGAGTAATTTTTGACTCCAGGACCCTGCACTTGCATTTTGTCCCAGGCCACACAAGTTACACGGCCAGTCCTGGGTGCGTGGATAGGGGGCCACCATGTTTGCATGATGATTGAGTCCAAGTAAGGATGTGAGGAGCTCCAAATAAACGGAGGACAGGATCCTTCAGCCTCTGTTGATGCTGAGAAGCAAGAAACAGTAACAGACAAAGGTAGGGAGGTGGCAGGTGGCCAGAGGAAACCAAGAGAGGGACAGGACGGGTGGGACTCCGGAGAAGCTTGCCCTTCATTCTTTAGCCTGATAGGTAGATGTCAAATTCCAGCTGGAAATGGTGTTACTATTGGAAAGAAGGCGGGACACACATCATATGTCGTCTTTGGTAGGGGAGCTTAGTTGAAACAAAGCTGAAAAAAAAGTGATGGAAGAACTATTCAGGATGTACATTTTACAAAGGTAATTTCTCAACAGTTTTAAACAAGGCTATAACTTTGGAAACTTCAGTCTTTCAAAATGCCACCAGTAACTGAAACCAGCAGTCTCTTCCCCCAGACTGGCACATGTGCCTCTGAGGAGCTGATGGCAGCGTGTGCCCCGGGGTGGTCACCATGGAAACTTAGACACCGGGTGAGACACTGAGCCAGCCCCAATCCCACAGCTGAACCTGCAGTCCAAGGTCTTACAGGAATCTGTGTATTCGGAGCACGTTCTGCAGAAATGGAGCCTGTATTTAACAGAAACTTTGCGCGTTACCTCTGTGCTGTGGGGCTGTGGGGAGGACACCTCCCGACTGTATTTCCCACAAATAAGCGGTGCCAACCCTAACGATATTGGATGAGCTTTGGTTTTTCTTCCTGTGCATGGAAGCTGCCCTCAGGACGCACTTCTGAGGGGCGCCGTAACTAATTTTTGGTACTGCAGTGCATTGAGTGGGTGCAAGACCCCCTTCTTTCATCTTCCTTTCTGAGGCCCTCCTGCGTCCTGTACTTTCGGGAAGCCAGAGCCCGGGAGCTGCTGCATCTTGGGGTGGCCCTGGCCCCCAAGAGATGGTCCAGTGTCAGAGCACCGCCCTGCACACCGGCCTGGTAGCCGGTGCCAAGGAGTCCGGCCGGCCGCCGCAGTGCAGCCGAATCGCCCTCAGCACCAGGCCGGCAAGGGCAGCCGGTCCCCAGGAGAGGGGTCCTCGAGGTCGGCCAGGGGGTCCACAGGGCCGGCGCACAGCGAGCATCTGCCCCGTCCCTGACGTTCTGGCCCCCACTGCTGCCCCTCCCGGGGGCGAGGCGCTCGGTGCTAGTGTGGAAGTGCTCTGGGCCACTTTGAAGGTGAATGAAGTTGCCTGATAGGTTTCCATGTTTGATGGGTGAACCTTGTCATGGTCTTGGAAGTCGCTCTTCCTTTGGTGCAGCCCATCTGGAATGACGCGCTTTCTATGCTTCGGGCCACGTCTGCGGCCTGAGAAAGGCGCGGAGGGGCCTGTCAGAGCCAGTCTTTCTTAGGCTCACAAGCTCGCGGTCAGGGGCCTCTAAGAAAATGCAGGACCCCTGTGTCAGGAATGGATTTGCCTTAGAAAAATGAAACCATGGTTTAACTTTTGTTATTTCGTTGGCATCTGATGCCACGGTTAATCATGGTGAACTCTGGCGTGAAACATGCCCTTGTCCTTGGGACGCTTTGAGGGGCGGGCTGTGAGGCTGAGGGAGAGAAGTGGGCACCGAGGCCTTCGTGCACGTCTGACACGGGGGCCCCGCAGTGACGTCCCTAACTGCCTCCTGTTCCCTCAGATAGTGACCAGAGGCTGCGAGACCGTGGAAATGACCCTGAGGAGGAACGGGCTGGGCCAGCTCGGCTTCCACGTGAATTTCGAAGGAATCGTCGCTGACGTGGAGCCCTTCGGCTTTGCCTGGAAGGCTGGCCTGCGCCAGGGGAGCCGCCTCGTGGAGATCTGCACCGTGGCCGTGGCCACCCTGACGCACGAGCAGATGATCGACATGCTGCGGACGTCCGTGACCGTGAAGGTGGTCATCGTCCAGCCCCACGAGGATGGCTCGCCCAGGAGGTAAGGCACGGCAGGGCCCGACGGCTCCCGCGGGTCCTCAGAAGATGCGGCCCAAGGCGTCCTCGACCGGGCTCACTGGGATATCCCCCATCAGAGCGACTGAAAAAGAGCTCTGAAAAGTTCCTAGTGTGTAATACATGATAAATGGTCATTTTCTAAGCAATTTAATGGGACACTGACCACGTAAAAGCTGAGGTATTATACGCTCAGTTGCAGAGCAGCTGCGCGGGTCGCCTGGACCAGCGAGACTGTGTCTGAGGGGAAATGTCTCCATCGTAGCTCAGCCTGTAGCAGACACACTTCTTTGCTATGCATTTGAAGAGTGCCTTTCATAACGCGAAGTCATTGATTATTAACAGGGCATTTAAGAGATCAAAACCTGTATGTCTGAAATAATAACGGCACATCAGATATGCTCACTGTGGTGACTGCTGCATTCTAGCTGAACTGGTTTGGGACATGCTGATGAGCTGTCACGAGAAGCATATGAAAGGAAGTAGCTGGACTTGGGAGGTTCAGAGGTGGGTGGGTGGAGGGTGGGAACAAGAATGGCGTGAGAAAGGGGTACTGTTCCATTGTCAATAGAAAAGGCTCATGCTCAACATCAAGAAAATATGAGGCTGAGAAGAGAAAGAATGCTCACTAAGAACAAGCCATCCACCTGGCGCTGGCCCATCTGGTGCTGCGGCATCTGGACACTCTGCTTCCATCCCAGAAGTTCCTCCAGGCACCTTCAGAGCCCTTGCTCTGGAGAGATAAGAGTTTGCTCAGAACCCAGGCCTTACCAGTGTGATCTTGGGTAACTCACGTGCCCTGTAGGCATCATTTAATGCCTGTAAACTGGGATTATAGTATATCGCCCTCCTCCTACTGTTCTTAAGAGACGATTGAATAAGATGCAGATTAAATAACACCTTCTGACATCGTCAGCACCCACATTTTAGTTAAAAACACTTTAAGGTAGCCCTGACCTGCATGGCTTAGTTGGTTGCGCATCGTCCCTCAAAGCAAAAGGCTTGATTCCCAGTCAGGGCACAGGCCTAGGCTGTGGGTTCAGTCCCTGGTCAGGGCGCCTGCGGGAGGCAGCTTATTGAGGTTTTTCTCCCTCTCTTTCTCCCTGCCTTCCCCCCTCTCTAAAAATAAGCAAATAAAAATCACTTTAAGATATTCATTTGAATGCTTTCATGCTCTAAGAGCAATTCTTACCATTCGAAGTTAACAAGATGCCGATTCCACTTTCTGAACTTCTTTCTGTGGCCGCCAAGGACATCCTCCATCTCCTGGCCTCTGCCTGTAAAACCAGCACTGTCCCCTGACGCTCTCTGTGATGTATGTCCCTTGTCGGTACCATCTGCAGCTGTGGCCACGAGCCACACGTGACTGTTGCACCCCTGAAATGCGGCTAGTGCGACTGAGGAGATGAATTTTTCATTTATATTAATTAAGATTGAATTACCCGTGTAGGGGAGGAACAAATTTTCCTCTACCCTCAAGGTTCTTCTGACTGGTCTAATAATCAAACAGACATAAGACAGATTAGCAATAGAAAATAATCAAATTTAATATATACACATGTGTGGGCAGCCCGCGTGCATGAGGTTCAGAGATCGAATGGAGGGTCTTGTTCAGACTCTGCCCCGTTAAGTCCCTTCGCTCCCCAGGGACCCCATACAGTGGCATGGGTACAAAGAAATCCAAGACAAACACTACCTTATTTCCAGTGAGACTTGGAAATAATCGAAGGCAAATCCTTTAGACTTTTGAAGCTAAAATATGGCAAGTGAAAGCCTTTTAAAATAAATTTTAAGCCAGTTATTAGAAATTTTATCATATAGTAAGATTCCTTTGTTCCTTTGGTAGAGTTAAAGGTTTGTAAATTTTATGTTGAAAATTTATCTTTTATCCTCGTATCTATCTTAGAGGTTGATTACTACCACAGAAATGTTACCCTGCCCTCCCTTTGGGTTAAAAACATTCTTCTTCTATTTTTAGTTTCGGTCTATAAGGAGACATGTTTAAAGCTTTCAAGAGATCTGGTTAATAAAAATGTTCAAGTTATCATTATGTTTGGTATTTAAAGCATATGATTTTAAAAAGTAGAATCTCCTAAGAAATACTGAATATTTTTAGTGAAAACAAATACACCAAAACTACCATTTAAAACTTTTGGCTGTTATCTCTTTTACCCAAGGATGTGTTTAACTGCCTTGGTCTGTGTGTAATTCTTTCTCTGTGTTAAATGCAAATTCTCTTATTAAAACTATTCTAGATATTTAGCAATTTTGCCTTTGTTTCCCGGAGGTCTCATAACATTATTCCCTGAAGCTACAGATCTTTCTCTTGATTAATCTAGAATAAGCATGTTACATATTTCAACTTTAACCAGGATCAGAATTAGCCATTTGCCTGCTAGTAATCCTCCCAAATTGGCACGCCCATCCATCCACATTTTCGCAAAGTCTTAGGCCTAGCACGTATCAGTTAAAATCTTCCAATCCAGTCTTCCAAAGTTGTACGAATTTGAATTTGTAAGTTTTTAAATCCACGTTTTTGTTAGTTAGGGACTCGCGCTGCCTGGGCCTGCCTGGATGCCCCACCCCCACCCCCAGGAAGTCCTCGCTGTCCTCAGGCAGCAGTTTCCCCAGCCCCCAAGGGCTCTGCCCTGGGCTGCCCTGCAGGTGTGCAGGCCAGTTTGAATTTCAAACCCCCCCGCCCCCCCCTCCGCCCCCTCTGGCGGCCTCCGCCTTCTGTCCACTTTTTGAGAAGCTGGAGAGCGGGGCCTTGAAGGGGAAACGGGAAGCACTTGACTCATTTTTAAAATTAAAATACAAACCTTTTCAACGAAACATTGCTTAGCACTGTCAGTCCCATAACAAAATACACAAATGTACGCCTCAAGGTAATGCTGCACCTTTGATTTGTAGTGCGGAAAATGAGCTCATCTCTTTTCACAGATTGGCTCTTAGTGCCTGTCAGGGAGGGGGCAAGAAAAAAAACATTCATTTACATGGACTGTGTGTGTGTGTGTGTGTGTGTGTGCGCGCGCGTGATTTTTAAAAAGTTGTCTTTAATGGAAGAGCCATGAGGTCTGCCAAGATGGCCCACTTAATGAATTGCAAGATATTTCATTCTTCGTAAACATTGTGAATAATGGAGTGAAGATGCTTCAATTCATTTCTGCCATTTATCAGCTTGATTTTCGCCCAACAGGGTATCAGGGAGAAATAATTCGCCTCGGAGCCCATCTGCCCCTGTCGGCGGCGGGCGAGGCCTGTCATTTAATAGACTCCCTCCTGGTCCTCCGGGGGTCAGGTGTTTGCTATGACTCAGAAGCTGCTGCTTTAAATGAAGTCTTTAGCTGGGAAAGTATTTACATGGAATCAAAAGCCGCCCTGCATTTTGAAGTCTTGTTCTGAAGCCTCGGGTTGATCATTCAGCCGTCCCTCAGCTTGAAAGGAAGGCAAAGTCATTTTTCGATTTCCTTGTGGAGTTCCACAGAACGCCAAGCAGGGAAGGTCCCCTTTGGGGATGCTTATTAAGTGATTTCGTGCTGGGATCAGATCCTGAGTGAGTCCGAATGGGCTGGGAATGAGCGGCAGGAAGCAGTTTGGGAATAGCGCTCCTCAAGCTCAAGTGCGGTTTAAAGGGAGGAGGGCGCCTCCCCAGCCAGCAGTCCCTGGGCTGTGCTGGCGGTGCCTAATTAACCTTGGCTTTGGGAGGGATGGTGCGGCCCAGCCCCCGGCCTTCAGAGGTGACTGGCCTTCTCTCGGTGTCATCCTAAAGAAAGCAGATCAACTGAAAAGGCTGATATAAAGGAAATAACAACTCATCAGAATTATGCGTGAGTTGTTACGCACTGTGAATGATTTAGTAAATATGTCCAATAAAAATGGAAATGGAATTCCTTGCTGGGTGCATCTGTTTTGTGTGGTTTTTCATACTTGGTTGACATGACATAGTTTTCTCTATAATGCAGAACGGTGGACATTATCTCATGTTGTCATGAATCTCAATTGTGGTTCTCTCATCATTCTATAAAATTCAAGCTCTATGTTCTCCACTGCTGTTCTGCTGCCCACTACCTGACCATTGAACTCCCTGAAGTACACAGGGGAGGACGTGGGAATCGGAATAGGAAGGAGAAGTCACTTTTGTTAGATTAGTGGAGTGTGTGTGTGTGTGTGTGTAGATGGGAGTGGAAATCTGGGCTGAAGTGAGGTTTGGAGGTTACAGTTTATTTGTATGGATACAAACATTAGTTATGTCTGGTATTGTCTCATGGGTCCTGAAAAAAAAAATACAGAACTTAGGTTCTTGAAGTAACTGAACCACACTCACTGCACTGAGTTCCTACAAAATACTGTTGATTGTTCTCTCACTCCTTGAAGTATGAAGCCTGGATTACAGGACGAACGTTAGGTAGGTTAGCTCAGATTTACTCACTCATTCGCTCATTCATTCCCAGGTTTTGCCTGAAACTGTGCTGGTTACTGGGGCTTTTGAATGGAATAGGACAGACCTAATCTTTACTTTCATGGACTCCTTTTTGTCTCCCTAGGATTCTAAAACACAGTATTTTCCGTTTACATTTTTGTTGTCGAGCAATAGTCTTCTCCAACTGTAGCAGCAGCGAACTGCTTGATAACAGGTCCCCGCCCACTCAGCCTCTCCGGCGAACACTCTGTGTCTTAGTGTCCACGCTGTTCTGCAGTTTGGTATCTTGTCATGTTACTGGCACTGTGACAGAAATGCAAGGATGACAGGAAAGCATGAACTCGCTGTCACTTCAGCAGAGAGACCTGTCTCATGCTTGACACGTTACACCATGCCGTGCGAGTGGACAGCCAATGATGTTCTCCTGATGGAAATATTCTCATCAAAAACCAGGCATCAGCTAGCTATTGAGAAACCTTCTGTGTTTAATTCTGAAGTATATAATGCAATAAAATGTTATTTCTGGTCTCAAGCTTTCTAAGAAAGAAAAGGAAGCGGTTGGCTTT